GTACCTAAATGTATTGGCCGCGACTGAAGGAGTCTCTTTCCTTTTTCTCTCTTTCCTGTTTTATGTGAACGTATTTGGAAAGGCGCATTATCGTGCGATATACCTACATTTTTTACTGTTCTTGATCCTGTGGCTTTCTGTGGACGCTGTTGTATAGTTATTGCAGCAATTTTAATGTAGTCTTGTTCTAAATAGTTTTGAGTGCATTATCCAAATTTTCTTTTGTTCTCTATTATTAGGCGACACTATAACATGTGTTCCTCCTGCAATGATCTCGAATGGAGCAGGCAGTATTGTTGAATAAAAAAATATGCACACTAAACGACTCGCAGTATTCTAATGCGCTAATGGATTCGTATAGCTTCAGCTTCCCGAAGCAGCTGAAAGCTCGTCGTTGTGGGGAAAATGTGCGTCCGTATTCGAAGCCATTCTTATTCGTTACCATGGCAAATTTGTTCTATGTATAATGTTCGCGAACAGTCATGACATGCACGACTTCATCCCGCACGGCTCTCACAGCCACCGAATTACGCCGAACAAGGTCTAATTCAGCACGTGTCGGAAAGAACGGTGCTCTAGTTGCTTACCATCGGCACAACAGCAACCGCTCGCTGTTCTCACTATTCTTCACAGCGTCGCGAATCGCTAACGACACACTGTTTCGTCCAGCCAGCTAAAGCGATTTCTCCGTTTCTTTTCATGCATGACAGAGGAGACCCAAACGAAGACGCACAACTATCCGCTGTATTTTCTAGGCATAACCATTTGGACGAGACGTAATGGTGCTGGTTTGGTGGCGGCTTCCTACGGAAAAGCCCCATATCGGGTTTTATCATTGCTTCTCCGTCAGGGTCCACGGTGATAGAAAGTCGCACCTTAAGCTCTCGGATCGTTGGTTCGTTCGTCCTGTCTCGCGTTAATGGAAGCATGCGTTTCGGTCATTGTGCAGTACATTTGCCGAACAGCCGCCATCGTTTAACCAGGACAGCCGTGGCTTAATAGCGTTCCTCAGGAGCCTCGGGGGCACAACTCCCACTTTTTAACACAATGTCGAAAGCGTACGTTTTGCGTCATCTTTGCAGAGCCTCATTTGCTCGTGCTTTTTTAACTTCCTTATTTCGTTACCTTGTATGCCTAAATTTCGAGGTTCCTTCATTTCCTGCACTTTTGCGCCGTATTGCTGCTCTATAACCAGATTACCGGGTCGTTACGTTAGTGCAGGCATCCACCTCCGCGTATAGCCAAACTTACTTGCACATTGTATTATTTCAGTTTTGGTTTTTGTTTTCATCGAACAGGAGTGTATACTAATCACAAAAGACTGGCACCATAAACCTCTGCAAGAAGTTCGTTGCTACCAGTTTCATGAATACAGTCAGCGCAAAAACACCCAGATGCATGTCGAGTAACAAAAGTAGGATGACATAACACTTATATTTATACGAATGCAGGCAAACGCACTTTATAATGGTCAAATCCAACTATATCGAACGTATCGATGGAGGCGGAATTGCTGTAGGCCCGTGTGCTCAGATTTGGGTGCACCTTAAAGAACCCCAGGTGGTAGACAAATTCCGGAGCCCTCCACTATACGGCGTCTCTCATAATCATATGGTGGTTTCGGGACGTTAAACCCCACATATCAATCAGATCAACTATATCGAACGCGGGTAAAATGAACTATTTCTGAATGCGGCTATGCCGTAACATCAATGTACTGGAAAATGTTCGGCTTCTTAGAACAAAAACAGCCTGAACACTGCTTATCGAACACCAGGCAGCCGGAGTCCGCCGAGGTAGTGCAGTGGTTGCGGCTCTCGGCATGCTGACTCGAAGGTCGAGGATTCGATCCCCGTTTCGGTGATTGCAACTCCATGGACGCGAAATGGTGGTCGCATTTCGATGGAGGCGATGGAGGCCTGTGTACTGTGCGTTAAACAACACCAGTGTGTCGAAGTTTCCGCCACATGTCCACTACGACTGGTCTGATTATCATATCGTCGTTTCGGCATGTCGTGAAAAGCATCGGGAAACGCCCCAGAAGGTTGGCTTTGCCGCAGAAGAAGTGGCTGCTTCTAAACGAAAGCGGACTTTCTCGCGTGCACTTGGGAAAACAGATGGTGTGATTAGAAGGGCCCCGTGTGCAGCTACATGTTGCAAACACATACTTCCTGACGATAGTTAGCGCGAGAACAGAACGACGACACAGAGACAAGAAGGACACGAAGGACGCTTGTTCGTCTCTACTAGCGCTCATTATTGTCTCTGCGTCGTCGTTCTGTTCTCGCGCTAACTGTCGTCATGCCATACCAACTAGCCCAAGCGGCCACACTTCTATAGGTTACATACTTCCTGCCGTTATTACTGGTTGTCGAACACGTGGCCCCGTCGTGCATGGTTACCAATCGCTTGAGCCAACGACGAAGTTTTCATGCTTCGGCTGGTATTCCAGCTGTGCATCATCAACAGCCATCTGTTGATGATGCACAGCTGGAATACCAGCTGTTGATGATGGCTGGTATTTCATCTGTGCATCATCAACAGCCAGCGCCGTCTCTGCTAGCGCTCAAGACTTCTGCTTTGCTGGGATGCCTTTACGGTGAAGCTTGCTATGGAAGACATGGTAGTGAAAGCGTCTTGTAGCAGGGACCGACCTCCCGCCGCAAGAAAACGCCTCGGCTATTCAGTGGCATCGGGAGCTCCCGATTCCAAGCCTGATGATACATCGGATGACTCAGAAGCCTTCATATATACCTGCTAAGCATCGTAGTCCAAGACGGAAGTCTTCGACAACGCCCTCAAGTGAGGACACTGTCATATACAACAACATCGAGATCACGACTGTAGCCTACGTGGCTGCTGACGTGACGGTAAGCCTCAATGCTATCTTTAAGCAGAAGACATGACTTTTTCTTCAACTTGGCCCCTGGTCTTGTTCAAGAGGTCTGTGTGAACCCGCAGAAGAATATCATAGCTGTTGACACAACAAATCCGAAGACGGTACAAACCCTACTTGCTCTATCGTGTCTCAGTGGTGTCAACACGCGGGTTTTTTTTACCCCAGGGCACGACTTTAACAGCTGGTGTTATATCTGACGTCGACATAGAACTTCAAGATGACGTTTTGAAGAGCCTTACTGTTTGCATGCCTCCATGCAAAATCATCAGCGTCCGCAGTCTAGGCTCGTCAAAGTGTGTAAAGATGGTTTTCGAATCTGAAAAGCTTCTTAATCGCATAAAGGCTGGTTTAGTGTGATACCCAGTTCGACCTTTCGTATACCAAGTCCCTTAAGGTGTCGTAAATGCCTGAAGCTTAGACATGTGCAGAGTTTCCGCACAAGTGTTTTGGTTTGTGCCAAATGTGGCGGAAAGCGCAACGTAAAGTTTTGTGACAGCTCGACATCTCAGTGCCCTAATTGTAACGGCGAGCACTTGGCAACAGACAAAGAATGTCCCACCCTGAAGAAAAATGGAAAGTTCTGGAAAAAAGAGCCAAAGATAAAGCATCGGGAGAGAAGACTCTCAACCGCAGTGCGCGTCTACCCGCTTTAGAAGGCAAAACTGATGTACCTACACTTTCGAAGTATAGTACTAAAAGCGTACATCAGAGGAAAGAGCAGAAGTGGAACTTCTCCCTCTCGGCAACATCGTAGCCGGTTCTTCCACAGAAAACATCCGAGGCAGTCTCTGGAAAGATCGCTTCTTGCAAAGCGTCGGAAGCAGCTTCTACTACGCTTTGCCTGACAAGGGAAAAAATTGCAAACAAAACGGCCTCGGTCGAAAACAATGCCCAGCTCATCAACGTACTTACGATGCCGATCAATCTCATTAGACCAATGATTGTCGGTCGCCAGACACCAACAGCACTATCCGCAGAACAGCTTTTGGAGGCGCTCGTCCCAGTTCTCGACGACCTTCACTAGAAACAGTATGAACAGTTGAAAGTCCCGCCCCTTGCGCTGCAGTGGAATGTCTGACTATTACTTTTATAGACGTTTTTCATGTGACTACTTAATTTTTTTGCGCGTGCGTATTGCCCCCCCCCCCCCTTTTTAAACTTTCCTTTTCTCTCTTCATGTTTTTTTTTTCTTATTTCCTCTGTACCTCCCCTTCCCGAAGGAGCGATCAGGCTTTGTGCCCTTATAAGGGGCAGTTGTTAACATGTTCCCTCCCTATTTCCTCTGTCTTCGTGTTCTCTATGTACTCAAACCAAATAAATAAATAATTTATTTATGCGCTCTTTTTGTTAGCATCATGAGATTCTCCACTCCCTTTATTAGTGAGATGTAAGCTGCTCTTCTCCGCAAAGGTGGAGATAGCCTACACAGACTAACGTGGAGAAAGAAAGAAATCTTTGTCGTGGCTGCGTATATTAACTATTGCAAGAAGCATGCTCAATAAGGTATTAGTTTATTATTGCAATAAACACGTACTAGAGGCTACCGGTGCCCGACGAGTTTGCACAGCTGCGCATCAAAATGAGAGAGTTCTTTTCTATGGCGATGTCGTACTGTTTCGCAAGGTACCGACTCCCCTGAATGTATTACTCCCCTGACCTACATCACCAAACTGCGCAAAAAAATAAAAGCAACAACGAAAATTTGTGCGGACTGCCATGAAGCTATCTTATTTGCATTATCGTGAAATAGCACCGTGAAGCTAACAAGTACACTGAAGCTCACCTGAAAGACCGCGAATTCTTTAAGAATATTGTACTTATCATAAAGCATATTTAACTCACTGCTGTTCTTCATCTCGGCATATACAGATACGACCATGTGCAAAAAATAAGCAGCGTAAATGCCAGCACAAGCAGAGCGAGACATATTACTCATTTCAACACTAAGGTCGCGGGCATCGGTTTTTCCCAGTATTCTCGCTTCACTCTGCATGTACCCGCGCTTTCGGACATCCCATTTTCGTGCCGCATATTTTCCCCGAATTTCTCGGTTTATTTAGTCGTTCATGCTTGCATAATTAGCTTGTATTTGTTTTCGCAGAGACCCCGTGGGCTAAGCCGCCGCGGACACTGCGGCTGGACGGTGCCGAGCCAGCGCGCATCCTCAAATCGGTGCCACCGCAGCAGCAGCAACTGGGCTACGTCGGTTCGCCGGACTACTGGCCGTTCGCGGGACACACGGCGCCGTCTTTCGACCCCGCAACGCCACGTAACGTCACCACGCAGCTGGGACAGACCGTGTACCTCAGCTGCATGGTCAACAACCTGGGCGACAAGACGGTGAGTCTTAATGTGAAAGCTTGAAGGACGGCCAACACGTACGCGTTGCAGCGTGGCAGCGCGCGGCTTTTGGCGCGGTGCCGTGACCTCTCCATATATGGAGAGACCGGGTGAGTGGCTACGCCAATGCTGCGAGCCCTGTCTCTCCTTACGAAGATTGCGTGGCACTGACCACGCGCTGACGTGAACTTACGTTACGTGAACTATCCACGCGCTGACGTGAACTTACGTTACGTGAACTAACCACGCGCTGACTCGCTGCAACGCGTACGCGTGGTCGGGCGTTTAGGTGCGTCATCAAACATGCAAATGCATCAGTAGCGTCGACACCCCGTTGGTGGGGTCGACGCTACTGATGCAAAAATTAATCGCGTCATGACGTCTAGATGTGAAGTGGTCACGATGTCGCGGATTGACAAATTTTTTGACGTTGTTGTGACATCATTGTGATGAGATTACGGCGTCACTGGGACGTCATCGCGTGACATTGTCTCTTGGTCAAATGTGGACTGATCACGGAGGCTATGTAAAACCAGGTGTGGTGCAGAAACCGCGCAATACTTCTGATCTTGGAGGCAGGGCGAAACCACGCTAGGTTCAGAAACATTTCAAGCATGCGTGGGGGCGAGGATAGTTGCATGGACTGATAAGAAAAAGAAAGTGGTGGCTTTGAACTTCTAGTTGTCATAGGAGAATGCGTAAGAGACCCTGTGAGTATTTTCTTTACCGCATGAAATTAGAATGCATTGCAAAGGAATTTCGCTTAGGCGCACTTACTCTCGTGGTTGGCATCGTCATGGCCAGTTGCACGCAATTTCTAACGAGCATCCACGAATGCAGTCGAACGTATGCGCCGCTGCTATTTGTTTAGATGATCGATGGTGGCTGCGCACTTGGAAGCACGAGGACAAACCCTTGCAAGGGCACACACAAGGACGCCGCTGTGCAAACATATTGACTTATTCCTCGGAAATGCATATATATGTAGTATGAAATGCATGTGCTGAACGGATAAACTCCATTCTGTACACATCAGTCAACTTCGTGGAGGATGGCGAGTTTTTGTTGCAGTAGATGTGCTAGCACTAGGAAATATTACATGTTTGTTTCGCACCCATAATGTGATTTGTTTCTGTTTTATGGCGGGGGGGGGGGGTAAAAAATTAGTAGCTTTTGTGGCTTAGGAAGGAAGAAAACAAAAGGGAGAAGGTAGGTCGGTTAACCAGACGCATGTCGGACTGCTACCCTATGCTGGGGGAATGAGAAAGGGTTTGACACACAGAAAGAGAGAGAGAGAGAGGAAAAGATATTAGTGATCTATAAATGCACTGACGCCTATGTCGCAGTCTGTGCGCACAACTTTCATGTTGTGCTTGTGTTGCCGGGCTGATTGTTGTGTTTCCTTTTTTTTTTTCAAAATTTGGGCCAGCAACATTATATTTGGCTCTGAGTCGACAACATTGTCAATTCGGCAAAACTATTGGAAGTTTCTTCTGTATTTTGTTTTTGAAAACTCAGACAGAGAACTGTTTCTTTTTATGCAGGTAACGTGGATCAGGCGCAAAGACCTGCACGTGCTGACGGTGGGCCTGGACACGTATGTCCAGGACCCGCGTTTTCAGGCCATCCACCTAGAACGCTCCAACGACTGGGCTCTGCAGATACGCTACGCTCAGCTAAATGACCAGGGACTCTACGAGTGCCAGGTGAGATGATGTACCTTTACGGATTACGTAACGCGTAAAGGCGTACGTAACAAAAAGAAAACGGAGGTCTTCCTCTCTACGTTTGCCGTATTGGGTTAAGGTCATATAGAATGTTTTATTCTACAAAACTGTCACTTGCTCAGCCTAATGAACTATCGCAGCAGATGACCGACGTGATAGCTATTTTGTGTAAGTGATTGTTAAAGGAGAGAAAAGAAGAGAAAAGTGAGCCAGTGATTGCCTGCATCATGGTGCGAATCTTCAACAGTGACTCACGAGGGATGGGGGTAAGGGGGACTAAAAGGGATAGGCAGGAATAAAATGGATAGGAGTAAAGATAGGGGCAGGGACAGAGAGACCCACAAACAGAAATGGGATAAGATGGGAAAGATGGACACAGTCGCAGGAGTCCGAGGATGGAACACCACTCAGCGAGAGTTCTTGTCGGCGTCAGGAGATGGCGTAGGACCAACCCAGTCGACCAGAGCTGCGCTGTCTTGGGAGATCGCGGGGGCACAGCCGGTCGGCACGAAATCCAGCGAGCGAGAGACGTGAAAGTCGCATGTGCTTCTAGTCACTGCAGTGCACGCATTCGCGTGTCTCTTGTGTGACAAGCGGTGTCTGGACCAATGATCGCGCTCAGAGAAAACAGACTTTTGTGTTTACTAACACCTCCGTTTAGGGACGGTATGGTAAGTGTTTGTTTGCGTAGGAGCTAGCTGCGCCGACACTGGTGTTTGCCTTCTAAATTGCTTTTGTAACTTTTGCACGACTGGATATGCTTACTTGAATGTTTTGTAGCATTACATCCTGCATGACAATGTAACAGCTAGTGCCCTGATGGGCATGTCGTTCAGGCTACCAATGGTGTACTGCGTTTTTCTTGACCTTTCATCAATACTCCTCGAAACACATATCATCAGTTTCTTAAAACAAGCTTCACTGCAAGCATAGGCTTTCGTTTTTGCTGAGTGATTAACTCTACTGCTCAGATCTGTGTTAATAAACAGTACCGTCTGCTCAGTACTGTCCAATATCAACAATAATAACTGCAAGCATATGCTTTCGTTTTTGCTGAGTGATTAACTCTACTGCTCAGATCTGTGTTAATAAACAGTACCGTATACTCAGTACTGTCTAATATCAACAATAATGACTCTCTAATGACATAAGGGTGCACATTTAGATAACGTGTTGAATTTTGAATATAGGCATGGGGGACAAAAATGAATAAGCACTTCAGAATATGCATACAATTCACATTATCCTATACATACGTAGGCGTAGTGAAGTTATTGATGAAGATTTCAAGCAGTTACATCATTGCTGCAGATACTCTACCTTTTATTGAGGCAGCGATATTAAGGAGGTCCAGAATTTTTCTCATACGCACAAGACCTTTCAATAGTTAATGGGGTAAGCAATCTTAATTTAAGTATAATTTTCGCAGCTTGTCAAAACAAACCCCAGGCAAGTATATATGCTTGGATAAGAAGCGATCATATACCGCGGCTATGTTTATGCATAGCAAAAAACTACCAATACTAGCTGTTCTAGTCAGATGGAATTTATCACGGAAGATATGTTTACCTAATCACATCGTTCTGCTTACCCTTCACGCTGCGTGCTTTGATGTAAGCTAGGCACTGTAGAATGCACTTAGACTCTCCTTGCGACAACTTGATGTACACCTGCACTGCCACGAGCTCGTAAGTCAAGACACCTGTCCCATCTTCGCTGCCCTGCCCACATGGGTGCTATACCTGCTTCAGTCACTTGCATATTTGGAAGGCATGTGGGTATGAACACTGACTTTCACTTTGTTGTTGTCGTTGTTGTTGTCGTCGTTGTGGTTGTTGTCGTCGCCGTTGTTGTCGTTGTTCTTGTCGTTGTTGTTCCTTAAAGGACGATGACCTTGACTACTCACGGCCTACCTTCGTTTGCATACACAAAGTTTGCTCCAGCATGGACAGTGTAAAATGATTTACGTGGGATGAGATCGGTTGATTAAGCAGTTCATCAAAGCGAAAAGTAAGAAAGCGTGTGTGGCTCTATGGCACAGCTTGGCAGTGAACGAGTCAGAAACTATTATATTAACACGTTTATCGAGGGCCACGATTGAGGTTGCCCTCACAACCTTTCGCTGCATCAACGTACGCAGGTGAGCTCGGATCCGAAGATGAGCCTGTTCGTGCGCCTGCGAGTGCTTGTGGCTCGCGCCGAGATCGTGGGAGCCAGCTCGGGTCAGCTGTTCCTGAAGACGGGTTCCACCATCAACTTGACGTGCGAGATCAGCCAGAGTCCCGAGCCGCCCGTGTTCGTGTTCTGGTACCACAACGATCGCATGATCAACTACGACGAGGCGGCCAAGAGCCACATCCTGGTGCGTAAGGCCGGCCGGAACGCCGCCGTGTCACGCCTGCTGGTGCACGACGCAGTGCCCTCGGACTCCGGCAACTACACCTGCGGACCGTCGAACGCAGACGCGACGAGCGTCGCCGTATTCGTGCTCAATGGTAATCACCCCATTGCTCGTCGGAGACGGCCGCATAGTTTGACAGTCAAGCGGGTAGCGCACAGCTACTATCTTGTACTTATGAGGTAGGCGACTGCTCCGCGAAGGCATCATCAATACGCACTGGGCTGCCTAGTGTATTAACAAGAATGGAGGTGGAGCAGAATGCTTTCAGACTTGCAGACATATTAACCTACGTAAAATTAAACTTGGTCATGTCTTCTCACGTGTTATATTTACATGGCGTTTTTTTTTTTGAAATACTGAACATGTCAACTGCTGAAATGCAGCTATATTAGGTTTCGTTTTAAAACTTTTTCACGAGTACATAAAAGCGCTGCGTATGCGAAAGTCAGGAGCTACAGACCGACCGCGTGCAAGCAACGCAATTAATTTTGTTGTATATTGGTAAAAAGCAGACCGCCGAGCAATTCACAGCTCTGTGTACTGTAACTAGCTTCAAGGAAACCTGCTTGGGACCTCAAGAGCCACGCCGTACTCTTTTATTCTTCTTTTAGGTGAGAAGCCTGCCGCCATTCAACACGACTCCACGCCCCCTTCCACAGCCCGACCGTCGGTGTGCGTCTCGGATGTGGTGGTGCTGCTAGCGGTATTGGTGGCCTTGAGGACTGTGCGCGCCCACAGGTGATGAAAGTGGACGTCGCCTCCTCCCGCACGTCGACACGCCACACAGATCACCCAACGACGACACTCCTGCACCTTCGCCGCGCGGAACGATGCTAGCCAGCCGTGAACCGTCACGACCGCGCGCCTCTCATTGTATAACACGACATGACCACGGTTTATTTCGTCGCCGACGCCCATACGGCAAGTACGCTCGTGATTGTGCATCCACCGTGCTTGTAAAGCAAAAGGACTGCGCACTGCTTAAGCGCTCTCCATGTGTGTGATGTGCTCGTGCATTCGGCCGTGTACCGCTGTTGGAGTGCGACCGTCAGTCTTTCTTCACCCTGTTTGCTTACGCTCTGTCCTCGATGCTAAGGTACTTGTAACCGACGGATGACGTGGTAGCACGATCGCAGTGCCACCCCGTGAGGTGCGAGGGACGAAAACCCGGTGACTGCAGAGAAGACGCTGACGGAGAGATGTGACAGGGCCTCTCGGACGATCCCAGTCTGTCCTGCAACGTTAAGAGACATGAACCTCCACACACGCACCCCCCCACACACACAGTCCCTTTTCCGACATTACCTTTATCTTCAACAAAACGCTCCCATGGCTTCCTTTTCTGCCACTTAAGCACTTGTTACTCAGCGACACACCGCATTTAAAGGTTGCGGGAACAACAACAACAAAAAAACACACCAGTTCAACACAAATGTCTGATTTTCAAAACTGGAAGGAGGTGAGCGCAGAATGTCCCGTGGTTACGCTTTTTTGTGTGTATGTGTGTGGGTGAAGTTTATGCGGCCCTTGCCCTGCTCGCTGACGCAGAAAGACCTGAGTCCGTAAAGTGCGGAGTATGCAGCACAATGTTTGAAGACAACGGAGGCACTTACATAATGGTGGATATACATGAAAATATCTCACTCGTGATAGAAGCAATAGAGTTAAAAAAGAAGAGACTCAGTCCAAGCATTTTTAACCTTCTAAGACGGGAATGCTTGTCAAATACACATTGGTGAGTAAAATATATATGTATGCAAAGAAAGCCGCTGAAGTCGCTGTATGAAGTCACTGTATGCATAAAAAAAGATGCTTAGTAGGACCACTTCATCTGTCAAATTCAAGGTATAATCACTTACGAGAAAAAATAGCAAGACTGGTATTTTACGCATGTCAATGAAAGGACATCAGAAGAGACAATTGAGCGACATGGTGCACTTCCATTCTAAACGAATAATAGCGCGACAAAAACAGGAACGGGAAACAACGATTTAGTTTGTCTTTTCTTTCCCGCCCTGTTTTCGTCGCGCTATTATTCGCTTAAAATAAAAGGACAGGCCGAGCGATATTGAATAACGCTTGTCGCGTCGAATGACGACGCGTGCAAGAGGTATTAACATTTGCCTGATTCGAATAAAGAATTTATAACGATACGTGTAGTAACAATAAGACAGACTGGTAATGATATGAGGTAAGGTGGTAGAACATGTGCGCTAACGATAACAGATAATTCTCAGATGCGAATTCGCATAATGAAACGCGGCACTCATTCATGTGACATGGTTATTGTAAGCATTGTCTGGTCATAGTCGCACAAATATGGATCACATGTCGCACTACTGACCATGTTTTGAATACTTGCTTCAATAAGAAACGTGCCTGCCATGGCTGAATGTCAGAGACATTATCATTGTGGCTATGTGATGATGCACAAAAATTATGATAAAAGCCAAATGCCCCATAAAAAAGATTTCCGATAAGTCGAACCATCATCGCGGGTGCTCTCACTCTACTGCCAGAACGTGCAGCTTTCTGAGCATGCTGTCTTATTAACATGAAACTATTGTCCCAAAGTTCATAAAATACTTATATGTTACACTAACTTGTTGTTTGCCACCTATAAGATGTTTTATATCTCCAAATTTTGCAGTAATTTTGATGCGTACTTGTGACGCAAATGCTTATGTGTGACTTTTTTATGATATTTTTGTGTTGTGGAAAATATTTCTTCTTTTATAGAACATTTTTTATTGTAAGATTGACTTAGAATAAGGCAATTCAGCTTTTTTGTCTGCTCAATAACATTACACAGGTACACAACTTAAGGTATGAATTGGTAAGGCAAATTAAAGTCTCGCCTGTTGACTGCGTCACTTTTCTGGAAACTGTACTAAATGTTCGGGCCTTACGGAACAAATACACGGTAGAAAAACAAGCAGTTCTTTGTTAGAAAAATGTGAGCGAACAGCGAGAATACTGCCGGACTCCAGTACGAGGATTTAAAACAGTGGGGATGACTCAGTCGAAGATGTATGCTCGTGCTTGAAATTAGGCATCTTGTATTCTCTGAGCATGCGAGTATTTGCTCCATATAGTTAATGTTGCGTTTTCTTTCGCATCGCTTTACTGGTCAACGTTTTTGCCACGGAACTTGGAACAAGTGTTCATAGTGCATACTGGCGGCGCTCATTTGATTTGCTAAGTGCCAGCCTTTATTTTATCTCTCATGTTTGTCAACATGGCAAATGACATTTGCCGGCTTCGAGGCGAAAGCTGTGTGAAATGCCGATGTGCTGAAAAAAAAAAGAAAAGAAGTTGACGTTCACGCTTGTTCCTGTCAACGTCTTACGTGTCACACTCGGGATCAGGGCTAGCGAGCGAAGAATTATCACGGCGCAATCGTGCGGACTTGTCGACAGATTTTATTAAGTATCACCGAAGGCAATACGTCGGCAGGGTAGCACCACCATTCTTGATATGATCAGATTCACAGATGCGCGACCTTTCTCGATATTTCTTATTACGTATAGGCTGCGTGCACTAGTAAATGGGAAAAATAACATGGTGTTTCAATGACGCGTGGCTTCCAGGTGGCTCCCTTGAATGTTTCGCTTCTCTGAGGTAAATTTCAAATGGCTCTATGCGCGTACTAGTCGGTGTAGATTAATAGTGGAAACGTGGCAGCGCGAACAAACAAGGCAAAGAAAAAGTACGACACAAGCAAGCGCTTACTTGTGCCGTACTCTTTCTGTGTCCCGTTTGTTTGCGCTACCACATTTCTATGTTCGAAGGTCGCAGGATTGAATCCTGACTGCAGCGGCTGCATTTCGATGGGGGCGGAACTCTAGAAGCTGACGTGCTTAGATTTAGGCACACGTTAAGGGGTCCCTGAGAGGTGAAAGTTTCAGGAGTACTCCTGTACTTCGTCTCATCTGCAGTCTCTCATGGCGTCGGCGTCTCCTCGTGGTTTTCGAATGTAAAATCGCATCTAATTCCATTAAATGCTTGGCTTTCGCTGCAGAAGGCTATATACGTGGTTCTTTATGCAGCGGGTTGTTAGTTCTCAGAATTTTCCCCTGCATTCTTACATCTCGCGCAACTATTTCTTTAGACAAAATGTGTCGCAACAAAACTTACGTGGCGCTGTGAACATTTAACTGAGCAAGGGAAATAGCTTGTGAAAATCTTGTTAAGGAAATTTCACAAAGGTTACGAATGCCCTGCGTCACTCCTAATTGATTAAATCACTCAATATTTTTCTGGCAGGAGTTTAAAAAACTTTCACCATAAAGATACAGAAGCTTCTACAGTGAGGTAGCTGTGATTACTATGCATTTCCCTGCAGAAATTTTGACCTAAATATTGGCCGTTCATTGCGAAAGCCTGCACGCTGCCTTTTTGGTCTGTGACCTAAATGCTTGTATTTACATACTGAGCAAGGCGATAAAATACACTTACGATAACTTCTTGTTGAGGAAGTTGGTGCTTCTTAATATTATAACTGCCTTCAGCGTTGAAAGCACACACCACAGGATAAGGCGATGTTACAGAGGGATCTTTCCTGTCGCCTAATATGATACTATAAAACCAAACTGCATCTTTTTTTTCCAAGTTCTTACCTGTTTCCTATATCTTGAAATAGCGTTGCTAAGATAACAGAAGTGAAAAAGAATCTAAAAGAGAAAGGGATATTATAATGAAGATATGCGGAAGTCTGCCTAGTTTTGTACGCCTGCAAATCGTATTTTTCGCATAAGATTACTTCTCAAAAAAAAAAAAACGTCAGACTACAATATTACGTCAGGAAGTGTACATGAAAAATAAAAAAAATAAGAGAGCGTAGAGATTATGCGTGATGCTCTGGAACTGAGCGGGGCTTCGTTCTGAAGAGAGTACGATTGGGTACGATCTGGATGATAGAAACTTGCACAACCTGCTTTCATGAAAAGATCGTCGCAATATGGTTTAACGTTCACGTTCTTATGCAGAGAAACTGCGAACTCTTCAGATATCTATAAAGCAATCTACCAGACGTTAAAACAATGCTATGTATCCGCAATGGCTTCCCACCAGCCTGGAGAGTGTGCGAGCGTAACACAAGACACAGGCGGCTTTTCACTTTTTTAGTGGCCACAACGTTTTGATTGCCCCCTTCCCCAGCTGAACTCGCAGAATTTTATTTGATACTACTTGTAAGCATGCATTGTATACGTAATATAACTTTAGAAAAGGTCAAAGGCTCTACAAAGCGGTGCTAATGTCTGAAAAAGGAACAGGAGGGAAAAGAAAGGCAGGCATGTTAACCGGCAAATGCCTTAGACGACGAAAGTTCATATGCGCCTAAGTTGGCGGTGAAGAAATCTGAACGTTACACTGTCAGCATTCGACAAAGACGTGACGCGCATTACGTGCAACTTTAAACAAATTTTTTTGCATACCTGGTAATATGCGCATTTACGCAAAATCTTATGTATGGCCTTCACTTACACACAGCATAGTTGCATTATATGTTGCAGCACTACGTGAACGTAGTCAAGCATGCGTGTTATCTACTTATAAATCCACAAATGGCATCTCTTCCGATTACGAGATTCAAAAACCAAAACAAGACACAGAAAAGAAAACGTGTATTGTGCAGGGAAACGCTGTCTTTCGCGTATGACGGATAGCATGCGCCGAGAGAAATTCCTCTGTGTATCGTAGCTGCTGCCCACCCTGCTCGGCTGGCAGCGTTTGTATATTGTGTTGTCGAAGCCACCGGAGCATGTGCGTGAGAAGCTTGCCCTGTGAGTGATTATGACGGTGCACAAAAAAAAGGAATATAAGAGGAAAGACAGAGAACCTAAAGGAGTAACTGGTTCGATCATATAAGATAGGTAAGCAATGTAACGAATCAGAAAAGGAGCAGTGGCTATAACACTAACGTGATAGTTGTTTCATAATGTTTTGCGCCGTACTGTCTGCTCACTGTATTAAGAATTGCGCAGTGACTTGGAAATGCAGTATTGGTACAATATAACATTATCGAGGGTACAGTTTTTCATTTCATAACTCGTAACTGCTATTTCCGTGAATATCTTGACAGGAGAGTTCTGACTTACATACGAGTGAAACAAGATAAATTGTTGGAGCTTCCCCTTTTCTTTTTTTATTTTCACGTTGTGACTATCAATTTAAAGTGACCATACGGGGGCGTGTGAAGTATCCATCACTGAGACGAAATGTGTTGTGCAGTGTCTGCTTAAGTAAGGCTTCGCTGACACATTGCTACAGTAGTGACGAATAACCAGCAACCTTGGTTGGATTCAGTACATTGCAGAAAATGACCATGGTGTCGCTCATTTTTCATTTTATATTTTTATATATTCTGAATATAAATACATGTACGGTTCATGTCAAATAGCTCTCAAACTTCATGCAAGGAACTACCATACTAGTAATGTATTCTGAGAACAACAGAGTAGGGTGAGATTTCAAAATGCACTTCTATGGGTTGCTTGGAAGCGACGAACACGCTTATTTCATCAGCACTATAACTCAGTCATATGATCTTGTGTCATGAACACTTTGTTGACAAACAATATCAGGAGCCATATTCATTTCTTGCTGAGTGATATCACTCAATAGACAACTACTAACTAATAAGTTCATATGTCAGTGAAGTTTCATTCTTTTCCAAATGCCACTACATAAGTGCACTCAATCTAGAAAAATAAACGCGCGTGTAGAGTGCTACTTGATAATGAAAGTGAAACGCCGTGTTGTGCTGAAACATAACAAAGCAATTTGCATGAGGTGCTAAACGGCGTTCGACAACATGGAAGTTTAATGAAACAGCCATTGCTCGTTAAAGGGTAAAAACTCTTAATTGAGGTTAAAGAGTAACCTAAAGTAACCGTTTTTGGTAGACGTAGTCAAAACTCAATAGATAGCACTGTACACCAGCGCCTGAGAAACAAAAGCGAGTAATGCGTGTGTCAACCCCTTCCCCCCCTACGCTTGTAAGTAATTCACGAGCCACCATTCCTCCAAACCATCCTCACCGTACGTCTGAAAGCCACTCTATATCAACCATAAAACTTCTCTCGGTGTTTTGAGCTGTGTATCGCCATATTTTTGGACGTGATCGCCATTCCTTCTGTGTCTGGGAAATTCTGGTATGCCCTAAAGGCCGAACGGCGGCACTCAAACCTGTTTGTCAACAGTTACGTGGTATAAACTGGTTTCCGGACGACGGAGCCACTCTGGGATAAATGAGAGTGCAGACGGTGGAATATGAATGCGACGCTTGCGAGCTTTTGCAATCACCACTTTTGATGTGCGAATGACGAGCGTATCCATTGAAATATTTTGACCGTCTCGGGCACCACGTGTCAGAGCATGGCCTTGAAATGTGTGCGATGTTGTTACAATCATTTCTAGTCGATTTATTCATCAATCGCGTGTACGTTTCGAGAGTAAAAAAATAACACATCGTTTGAGATTATGTCATTTAACAAGGGTGATATGTGGATCCAATGTTACATTATACTTCATGTTGATGGTTCCTAGGTTGTTTGTAAATAATTGCTCAGAATCTATAATAAATATTACATGAACAATGTTCTGTCCAAGAGTGTTATTCTTGTAAGGTTGCTGAAGTGCCAATATATTTTTACACGATGCCAGCAATCTGATACTGCAGGAAGTAACACTAAAGTAACCAGTATCGAATTGTAAGTTTAAAGTCACTGAAGAGTGACGTGTGTTGATTGATACTTTTTCCATGGCTAAACTGATTGTGTACGCTATGCACTACGAGTTTAAAAATACATTGAAAGCTTCCTTGACACGAAGAGACTGCGTATAAGCAATATCTGTTTTCAAGCCGAGTATGCGGTGTTGCGGTGCCGGATGCTGGCACGAAGGAGGCGTTCACCATTCCGGCCGCAGCGCTAGCAGCACCTCGATGAAGGCGAAATGCTAGAAGTGCGTGTATTGTGCGATGTCAGTTCGCGTTAAAGAACACCAGATGGCCGAAATTTCCGGAGCCGCCCTCTCCGGCGTGCTCAACATTGTATCGTAGTTGTGGCATGTTAAAAAAAGCCCAGATATTACTATTACCATGGTGAATGTACACAGAGCTGCATTTGGGTGTTTCCTTTTATTGTTTTTGTGCTTCCTTACCTAGATCTGCATTCTTCAAATTTCTTTATTACAGAAAAAAAAAATGCGCATATTGATACAATCATGCGTCGTGTACTCGTATGTGTGACCCGCCAGACTTCGGCAACGCGTCCTACACTTCGATGGGGTATCGAAAGTTTCTTCGCATACATAAAGGCTATGTTGCTATGAACTATAAAACACGGCATGCCTTTAGATGTTGTCTATTTAGCGAAACAAGAAGTCATGCGTTAATGCGCGAAATTACGATGACAAGAAAGTAGTTGTTGTTATCTAAATAGTGAGTATATGTAGATGCAGTAATAGCTAGGATGTGAACGTGGCTGTTCCATGTTATCGACCTTCTGTCGCATACAAGGCAACACGAGGACATAAATGAAGAGAACGATCGCAACAACAGGCACACACGCGTTATTTCGATCGAAACGTTGAATAACTCATACTTGTGCAACGCATGAACTGGTGTGGCAAACATAGCATGAGCGATGAAAGAAAAAATCCTACAGCCCTGAAATGAGTCAAATATGATCGAGATACTCGTCAGAGAAGCATTAGGCAGACGAAAGGTCGCCCGATTTTGCGATCTTTCATCGCAGCTCGTGGTGCAGTTCGCTTTCACCTAGCGATGGCTAACGGTACAATGGGCATTATGCAACGCTGCGCCGTCTGCGCAATCGGCCGACAGTGTTCAGTACTAATGAAGCAGCAGCAATACCTATGTTGAACCTTCGCGGCATTGTCCCATCGCCGTAAACGACTTAGGTCGAAGACGTATCGACGGAGTGCAAATGGTCTTTTTCGTTTTAGAAACACAACGCGCATGACACAGACATTGACGTACACACGATTACACAACATTCATACACTCGTTACATAAAGTTTCGGGTTTCGCTCGTTTAGGACTGTGTAGCTCTTATGTAAAACAATGAAAAGTGCTCTCTGTGAGTGTGCTTCTGTTGATGCGTAGCCACCCTTCGCTAATAGTCGCAACTCACGCGAACACATTACCGACAGGACCAGTGTTTCAACTACCACCTACCCTGTGTGACGGCAACCCCTCATGTGTTGTAGCACAGATAAGCAGCCAGACTCTCTCTAACACACACACACACACACACACACACACACACACACACACACACACACGCACACACACACACACACACACACACGCACACGCACACGCACACGCGCACACACACACACACACACACACACACACACACACACACACACACACTGGCTCTAAACAGCCACGTACGATGACCGGCATGCTGCCCGAGTATGCAAGGTGACAGCAGCTAGCATGAGCAACGGAGGAGCTCCTGCAATGTTCCAAGCTTACCTATAGCATTAGAACTAGTTTTTACTGGCAAAGCCGTAACCCGCTTTGCGTTATGTAAAGCACAAACGCATAGCTCAGCCGCAGCAATATACCACACACTACTGCTGCGGCACATTCCAGTCCCCGAGTAGCTGCTCTGAGTTCTTGCACGCACAGCGGTGTCGGAATGTTGCTGCGTGAAGGTCAGCTACGTGTCCTTGGTCGGCGCGCTTCTCTAGGGGTGAGATGGTGAGCCTCATTTACGAGTGGTTCAGTGTATCAATCAGGTGAAATCGTTAGATGTATCATCGAACGCGAAAATTCAGGTCGGCGGCGTCAACGCTGGTGATGCAAAACATCACGATATGACTACGTCACAGGTCGTCACATGATATTGTCGCTTTATTAGATGTGGGCCAATCTTGGAGACGTGATCAGTGTGCGGGACACACGAGGACAAGGAACCGACGAGGATTAGCGCTGAATTGCAGCTGAAGTTTGTTAACAGGAACATGGAAAACAAGATAACACGTGATCACCGCTCATTCATTCGTACATGACTGCACACTTTGAAAGATAACCGAAAGTCAGAAAAAAGAAGAAATAAACAACAGGAAAACGCGAAAAGACATCGAGCAAAGCAGCTGGCGTACATCTAGCTCATCATTCCGGATGAAACAAGGTAACGTGTCTTGTTTGCTATCTGGGTTTAGTTTTTCATGTTAATGTCAATACATTTCAGTTGGAAGTCAGCCCCAGTCTCCGTCAGTTCCTTGTCATTCCTTTGTATCACGCGCCGTTCACGTCACCGTGGATTGTCAGCTAGACCGTTCTCACATCTCGTTTTGATCATGGACGCAGTGAAAGACCGGACGAGGTACGGAAATATTTCGGTCGGGGCCGTAGGCAGATGAATACACCGAACGGGAAGAAGAAGATGATGGCTTTAGCCTTCCGGTTTATCTTAGGCGAACGCGTCAAGAACCACGTGAGTTTTTAACCACTGAGTGCGCCCATGCTTGAAAAGGAAAGGCAGTCTAGCACAAAGCCAGAAAAAAAAAACTTCCACGCCAAGCACACAAGAACGCACTAATGCGTTCTACTCTTCCATAGAGTTTCTTAAATTTAACTAGAGAGGACTCTGGCTCTGCGATCGTTCAGCGACCATGGAAATGATAGCAAGTATACGGATTTGCCTAGTCATCGTACTTGCGGGAATCACACTTGTGGCTACATTTATTGCTGTGTTCAGAAGAAAAGAACGAACCTTTTTGAACTTCGTGGCGCGATTTTAAATGGTAAGCCTAAGCGATTAAGGTGGTGAAGTGCAACCGCTGTACATTTGCTGATTTATGTTCCGTGACAAAAGAGCTCCAAGCAATGCGTACGCAACAGTGCCAGAAGTACGAAGATTTGACAAATTCGTGTTCTGCCCATCATTCCCATGCTCGCTGAAGCGCCGTGCGTGACAGCTCCCATAGACACTAGCGCCAAAGTTCCCTCTACCGTATTGACAGCAAACTATATGAATTCTTCACAGTGTGAAGGCGTTCAAGACCTTCTAATGAAAGTGAGTTTTTACGTGTTTCTGAACTATTCTACTAATATCCGCACTTGGCGAATACTTGCACTGGTCCTCAGGTAACTGTGGACTCGTTTCAATAGACGGTAAATGAGCAATATAATCACAGCGCTAAGTTCGAGAATGCTTACTTTGTTTTTATACGAGTACGTTTTACACCTGATTTCATACAACGGCCGAGTGGCATACAAGCGTCAAGGTAGAGCTTCGGATAAGCACAGTATACATGTTAATTTGAGCGCACCTCGTGTACTATGTGTCGCCGTGCTCCCTTCTCACGTTTTATGTTATTAGCCCATAGCACGTGTCGATATTTTCTTGAAACGCTCCAGAATATCTGAGAGCTTTCAATTTGAAGATCAACGGATAAACTTGAGCGCACAAACGTGAACCGAGTTTATACTTGAAAAACTCAGCTGCCGACAATAACGCTGAAATGTTTTATGGCCCATGTATAAGTGCCGACGCACCTTGCCGCAGATCACTTCATCGACGGCCGACGCTCAGTTCACCGTACTCAGTGCACAGTGCGAATCGCCTGTAGTGTTACTGCGCTGCTCGGGCAAAAGTTTGACCAAATGAAAAAGTGTCATCTTGAAACCACCAACTGTGGCCTTCAATGTCACGACCACGCGACAATATCAAAAAATAAAAGGTATTCCATTCGGCACCTGGTATAGGACATTATTAAGGAGTCTTTAGAACCGTATGTGGTGTATCATGCGTTTTCTTTGATGCCGTGAAGTATTATTGCAGCTATACTTCAAATCGAGTCACGAGAACGAATTGACTAGTTCTTGTGTGAGGGCTGGGCGGGCTAGGCATGAAGGCTGAGAGGCGTTGTGAACGAGAAGAATGCGCTTTATTCGAACATGAAAACGTGCCAACCGCCCCGGAGGCGGGAGCGAGATTGATAAAACGTGTCCCCGGCCCTCGCTTGGGCTTGGAGTTTATCTGAGTAAAGGCGCCGCAGGTGGCGCTGCCGATTAGATAGGCCGCTACGCTATAGTGCGCATGCGGGCGCTCACATCCGGCCCCTCCTTGTCTGACCAAGTCCCATTGGTCTAGGAAAGGAGCACTACTTGGTGGCTTCACTGCGAGAGAGAATAGTCCTTCAAGCGCTCGGGTGGGCGCTTTTGGCGGTGAGGTCGCGAGGAGGGTACCGCTGGAGGCAAAACTGCAGGGCCAAGGGAAACTGGTGGTTGAGATAACTCATTGCCAACACTGGGAGAGCCAGATAAGTCACACAAAGGCCACTCTTGGGTTTTCACAATGTAAGGCTCGACATAAGGTGGCACGTAGTGCTTGAGTTGAGAGACGTGCACTATCCTGTCTTGGAGTCGATCACGAGGACCTTGACCAGTTACGCGGCTAACGACAAACGTAACGGGTGTTTTCTGGTTGGTGATTTGGTATATTCCCTTGAATTTGGGTGCCAACTTTCCAGTTCCATCTGCTACAGGCTCTTGGCGGCGCACCCAGACGAACTGGCCGACTTGGAAGGAGTGGTCTCGATGGGACTGATCATATG